GACATCGAGGAAGAAAAAAGGCACACATTTACACCCAAACAGAGATGGCTAGGGAGATACGAAAAGGGCTAAGTACTGAACCTCGACGCCTGCATAATGAAAACTCCGCTGTTAGAAGAGCTTATGACCGGTTAATGGAAACGGTGGACAGTGATTTAAGGAGATTCGGTAGGAAATGAAATTAGTGCTAATGCTATACGGGCAAACAAAGTATAACGAAGTATGGAGTAGACAGCGATAAGTTAGACAGAATCTTCGGCTGAAATCAGAAACCAGTTGGATAATTAAGAACAGGCCTTCCACCCTTGATGAGAGAATAGATAAAGAAGAATCCTTAGATCGTGCCTTGATTCTGCTCTGCCATATATGAGCCACTTGCAAGCCAAAATGATTAACTCCCATTATTTTTTCATATTCTTCTAATTTTAGTATCGAAGCACATACTTAGCGCTTCGTTCTTCATAGATAAAACAAATTTCAGACGTTTCATTCGACGGAGTGTTAGTCACTTTGGCTACCAAGTTGCGCATATTTTTGCTTCGACGATATCTTCTATGATAATTCTTGCACAATGATGGTACAGAATCGAAGTTTAACCCTTTGCAATCCTATGTCGACTCTAACTCCATTTTCGCCTTCAAATGCCGCGCAATGGTGAATTATAAACGGTAATAAACCATTTTTTATTCATTAATATCATATTTACGATTACTGAAATACTGGAATAAAGGCAAACTGCACGACATCGTCCAAAAGTGGGCAAATAAGTGCGAATCGGCTAGAACGAAATTGTGAACGTATCTCCGGCTACGAAGAGTTAAGTGTTGACGTTCTTGATTAGGCTGATGACACTTTGAAGTGTGAGCTAAATATTTAAAGTGGGAAGGCATTGTGTATCTATGAATATCTTATAAGATTAGAGAATGCTACAATGTGCCGTTAACTGAAATTCAGTTATTTTAAGTCTGCTTTTATCGTATACTATGATAAAAGGTATTACTTATCTTATTCAAGTATTGTGCAGTGTATATTTACTGAGAAAATACGAGCAAACTCGCTGTTTTAACGAGCATTAACAAGAGTTATGGATCACAATATTATATCCATAAAATGTCTGAATACTACATCGAGAGAGAAAAATAAAAATAGCCGAGTTTAAAAGGGGAATTTGAGCTTAAAAACTCGCTGTTTTAACGAGCATTAACAAGAGTTATGGATCACAATATTATATCCATAAAATGTCCGAATACTACATCGAGAGAGAAAAATAAAAATAGCCGAGTTTAAAAGGGGAATTTGAGCTTAAAAAGTCAATTTCAAATGTAAAAATTGCATAAATTTCAATATACTTGAAACGGTGCAAAATGCAAAAATTTCTACCGAACCGCCACAGATAAATGAATAAAAAAATTTCTAAATAAAATCTCTACGCTGTGTAATTATCGCCAAGTGGCTATTAAATTTATTTCACCTACGTTTAGCTATAGATTACACGTGCGGCTTTCACGCAAATATTTACAATGTTTCGTTATTTTTGCAAACTTCGTGATAATGAAAAGCAACCAATTAATACTTGCCTTCCACTTTGCCGACTAATTGTTCAAAGTAAATCACTATCTCGTATTTTGTAACTTATATCATGTGGCTGCTTTGAAAATGTTACGTTACACATTTATTATTAGATAAAAATGTTCACGAAGATGATTTATATTCATAAAAGCATATTTCATTTATTATAAAATTCTACATTCTCGTCGTGCCTTATCGCGCAGGAAATTTTTGACGAACAGTCATCAGTTAAAGTTATCAGCTGTGGAATCGCGTTTAAAAAAAGGTTACATAATGTCTCGTAAGCGTATTGGACAAAGTAACAAAACGCATACTAGTTACGGCTTCCGCGATATATGGATCGATAACTACCTGCATCTTGTATACATAAAAGTCAAAGGCTGCTTGCATATTTAAGAATACAAATTTACAATCCGACTGCACCGTTTCAGAAAACCGCGTACCAATGTTACACAAGTTTCTAGAATCTTTATGCAACTAAGTTTTCTAGAATAAATTGCAACGTGTATTTCGTGCAATTAAATATAATTAAAACGATGCATTTAACATTTTCCTCGCACGACTCTGGGCATCAATATTTTTACCTCTTCCACTTGATATTTTTTTACCCTCTTCACGACGGAAAAAATTCGATAACTATGTATAAGCGATATGAGAGAGAAAAATCCTTAAATATATTAAATCCAGATTAAACATTTCTGATCAACCGTTGGATATTTCGTCACAAGCGTTCCGGCACGCGCTTTTTTCTTCCATTCACAATCGCCATACTTCGAAACCTAACCTCTCTCGGGCGCTGCACGCGAACCGTTACAGTTATTGCCACCGAAGAATAATGCGACGGGAAAAATGCGACGAAACAAACTGGTAAAAGTGTGAAATAACAAAAAGGCGACGAAAAAGAGTGTAGAAAGAGAAAAAAAAGAAAAAGTGGAGAAACTTGAGAATTTTACGTCGTCGATACTTCAACGCAATTGAACCTCGTTTCGTAACGTCATAACAAGGTATGAACTCGTAAAAAAAAAAGATTGTACTCGATGATCTCTGTTCAGAGGAGCAAAAAAGAAAAAAAAAAAGGAACCTTTCAGAATTCCCTTCGGAACTTTTCAGAGACAGCATTATATTTTATTAGACAATAAAACGAGATAATAATACAAGAATCTAGGGACATAAAGTGTCTCTGAACTGCCGTTTTATCCTTCCTCGAGGTTATATCCTTTTCATTTTCATAGAAATGAAACATAATTCGTGCACCAGCATCAAAGGTGCCGCGATGTTCCAGTCCGCCGAAAGAAAACAAACGAGCAATCTTTCTCACGGTCCAGCATCGGACACGGAGCGAACGATATCCTTAGAAACCGGGCAACAATGTTTCTGGTTAAGATACATAGTGTTCGTAAAACAACTGAATCGATATCGGAATAGCATGCACGTGCACGTGTTATCGTGTAACTCCGAGATACGTCATAATCTGTCTAGAATCATTAGAGCTACCACTCATCTAATTGCACGCAAAGTGACGACACGTTATTCTTATCGACCGAGTTCGCCCTTTATCGATTCGTGCAGAAACAACATCAAACAGCACCGAACAATTTCGAACGAAACGCGGAGTCGAAGGAGTTTCTCTCTTTTCATTTCTTTGCACGTTGGCGAGTTTTTTTCTCCTTGCCGAGATATGGTATTTGGTGGAGAAAATAAACGATTTTGTCGGTAGCCAGTCGATAAGGTAGCTGTGCCTAATTATGGAACTGCACCTAATTATGTAACACCGCGATATCTCGGCAAATAAGTAACAAAATTAATCGGAGATAGTGTAAGATATTTCGTTAAAAAACAAAAGACAATCATATTCAAATCTGAGATTCAGTTACAAGTCTGTCGTTTGTTGTTTGAAAGCGTATAATAAAGTTTTTGAGAGGCGAGTTAAATAGTGAAATTTTGTAGTGAAAATATTGCTTTTGCATGATTTATCGTTAAACATGTGTGTTTTCGAGTCTTCAAAACGAATTTACCGTTAAATTCTTTTTCTTCTTTTATTATAATTAATTATTTTTCCTAACTAATATGGAACAAGTTGAGTTTTCATATTGGGTGCATGTTCCTTATTAATATTATATAGTACTACATTATATTTTTACCATTATAAGTACTTATATTATTGTACTACAATATATTGCATAATTTTGATGCTACAGATGAAAGTTGTAGCACCAAAAATTAAAAGAAAATCTTTGGACCACGTTCCAAAAGTGGAAGACATTCGTCTATTTGTCTTTTTCATTTATATAAATATTCATTTTTCATAGTAAAAAATGAATTTCTTTCAGATTTCTTTACAAATTTCCTATCCATTTATTCAACTCGACGCGTTTGACATTTTTTACATTTTTTTTACCATGACTTCAAGATACTTTTGCATAGTTAACTATTAACATACGAATATCTATTAATTTTGTCGTGTTTTAAGTTTGATAAAATTGTCAGTGCACTGTTACCTCTATATTCTCCGACAAAAACGTAAACATTAGCTGTTTCTCCTTTCAGCTGCACATTCGGTGACTAAGAATTGAAGAGAAACTAAACAACGCGAATAGAAGAGGGAAATATTTGATATGAAATATTAACAATCGATGCATTTTTTTTTTTAAGATCAACGAACCGCTTTATCGCTCGTCGCAATGTCCTATTATGAACGTTAATGTAAGCATACATCTCTACTGAATCACATTGCTTTACAAAGTGCAAAGGTGTTACATGCAGTTAATGCTACCATTTGCTTATGCACATATATTCAATGGCCACATACGCAGCAATATTCAACTATGTACCTAAGATTCCTGATAATTAATACATATACACGTGTTCATTATCAGGAACGTCGCGTAAGAAGCGCATAGGCATGTCACATGTTTAGCTCGGCGATATCGAAATCTATTTATGATTCTAATATATGAAGTTGTACGACACTGTTTTTACTTCGAATATGAATATATTCATGATAAATGTAAAAAACGGTATCAATGCAAGACGTTCTCGTTACGTAAGAAGCTGTAAAATTCTAAACGTTCGTCACTATACAAGACATTGGTTGATGAGACCGATAAATACTGTAAATTATTAAACATGATAAGAAAACTGGAATACATGGCAAATAAACCTGTCAAACGATTGACTCGAATGTAGCCACAATAACATCGTATTCATATCCACTTTCGAAGACAGAACGGATATTTATAAAGTATTACTCGTAGAAAAGTCATTACCTATATACGTAGTTATACTTTTACTATATTCTACTGCGTTACATAATACATTCGTTGTTCTATCGAATTTCACTGTAAAAAATTGAACGATCCGTTTAAAGAAACAAACTTAACCTCAAAATCTCCTCTACGCGTCCACCAGCAAAGAAACTATTGCCACTACGTTGTATGTCTTTCTTGCAACCAACGTTTCTAAGTAACTTTTTCGTTTATTTCTCGAAACAATGGAGATATTTCAGCTGGACAAAGTTGGTACGATACCCTGTACATACTATCTATGAAACGTGTACAGAAACTACGATTCCCTGCTACTGAACATAGAACACGAACGAGCTAAATATGCAACTAAATAAACGAACACGAACTTGATAACTACGGTACGATACCCTTGTTAATATTTCACAGAAATAAAGAAATAATAAATGACTGCGATCTTACCGGATATTATTAACAATTTCTGCCGGATGAAATTGTTCGTTGCACTTCTGCAGTTCATTCCCAATAGCCACGAAACACAGGTCACTGTTGATTAAAGCATAAAACTACAATTGTCGTTAGAAAGCACTAGATAACACTTCGCGTCAAATCGTAATTTTCGATGTCCATCGTATTATATAGTTTTTGTAGCAAGGTTACCGCGTTGCGCGTCCGTTACAAACGGATATACGCTATTTCGCACCACGCGCGACTAGTACCAACCTCGTGTCGTATTTGCGCGCGAGAACAACCGTGCGCGCGCGCAGACAATCCGACATGTTTGCATTTTCCTTCTTGTCCTTTTCTGTCACGTACACGTCACATGCATGCACATCGTAATTTACACATTAGAACGTCGGGACACGATAGAAAGTCACTAGTTCGATGCTAAAGATCCTTTCCTTTTGTCACCTTCTTCTATTTTCCAATATGTCGTGTCACGACACTGTTCTGTTCGTTCGAACTTTCGCTCGATCGGCGGAATAATTCGTAAACACGATTCAAACGAAAAAATCGTGAACCCACTAAAATACACCACACATTTCGCTCGGAATACGAACGGCGGGTGAAGAAAACCGTGAAAAATAACCAAGTCGTGTACACAATTCTTTTAAAAGTATAACAAAGCACACCGAATTTCGGCCTGCCCGTCACGCACTTTTTGCACACGCGCACTTCAATTGTCTCCTCTCCGTGCGTCGTCTTCCTCGTGCCCGCGTGTCTCTCTAACCCCCTCTACATCTCCTTCTCCCCCTCAAGAAACGGGGAGCGCCAATTCCCTCCATTGGAATACGTCACGATGCACGTTGAGGCCTGTTTCGCCTTTTTCGTCAACAACCTTCGTGTTGGACCACGCGTGATCGCGTCTAATGTGAAAAGCCTTTGTCTTACTCCTTGGTGAATCTCTCCTTTCTCGTTGAAAAGAGAGCCTGCTGCTTCTGTCGGATATATACGAGAAATGTCACACCAAGATAACGTACAACACAGCGTGGCGAATCGTGAATCGAGCTTCTGTTAACGTAGCACCATCCGTGTTAAACGTACGTCTCGGCCGAGAAAATCGTGACCCGACGACGGTGACGCAGAGAAAATGTGTTTAGAAGGTGTGTGTGTGGAAACGTGGAAAAGTGCGAGCGGAATATGCGCAACACCGCCGATACGTTCGATGTGCGCTTGCATGCGGTCCGTAACTCACTAAGAGTGCTGGTAGCAGCGGCACGCCGACGAGATGCATGGTGGCCTGCGGGTACCGGCTGGGAGGGGGACGTCCCCCTCGCGGGGAGGAGACACGTCAGGAACTCGGCCGTCAGGAGAGCGAGGGGTCTTTCGTCGAAGAGTGGTGGTTGGACGGATGGAGGTGGCACGCGGGTTTAGCGGACGCCGAGGTTTTACGATTGAATCCATTCGACTGCGGCGTAGATTTTACCTACGCGCACGTTGCGCGCCGTTGTCAATGAGAAGCTTTGCACCAAGTGTTACGCTTTTGAATGCGTCATTTATAGTCAGCAAATGGCCTCGATGATCGGCTCAACGTCACCGAGAGGCATACACATATATTTCAACGAGAATTTTTATCGATATCAGAACAAAGTTTCGCGAGAGATCGGACGTTTCAAAGGGAGGATCTATTTTCTTGGATACAGCGTGAGACATATGGGTGCGTTTTCAAAACACTTCACTAGTGAATTCAATGTAATCCCGGTTTAACGTGTTCGCAAAGTGTTCACTTTTGAATCTCCTTTTATATGTATGCAGACAGTAACTGCAACTTCGAGGAATGTAAAATTAGCCAGATTGTAATGATACGCCAAGTTCTTGGTCGGAAACACCGTATGCTTTACAGGCTACTCACTAGTGAATTCAATGTAATCCCGGTTTAACGTGTTCGCAAAGTGTTCACTTTTGAATCTCCCTTTATATGTATGCGGACAGTAACTGCAGCTTTGAGGAATGTAAAATTAGCCAGATTGTAATGATACGCCAAGTTCTTGGTCGGAAACACCGTATGCTTTACAGGCTACAAAAATATGCACAATTATATCAGCGGCCGAAATAAGTGCGCTAGCACGTGTAGCTGAAGTAGAGAAGAGGATGGAGGATTACTATTACTCGCGCTATTGGACGAACATGCAGACGATAAAACGAAGGAATGGAGAATAAATGTGACAATTACAAAGAGCCTTCTAATAAATATGTTAGAACAATTAAACCATGGTATGTTTGTTTCTAGAAAACTAATTTGTCATTTCTATTAATGATTTACGAAATTAAAAATTTCATGGTTAGAAAAATTCAGTGAAAATTCTTATTTGCAGAAAATCGAGGAAAATACTTTCAATAAGAAAATACACTCGTTAGGAAATGCAGGTAAGGAATTTACACGGAAAAACTTGATATGAAAGAAATTCAAATTTTTTCTAAAGTTTCGTCAAATTTCACATCTTGCAACGTGAACGGCGAACAGAGAAGTGTGGTTATCGTGTTCCAAAACGCATCTTTTTTCGCAAATTTCGCTTTCGGTATTTACAAGTGGATCGCGTTGAACACGAAGTGCATTTAGCAGCGGGATTCGTGCAACTTTAGTCGGTTATACCAAAGCTGCAAAGCGGTGAACGGGAAGAAGTAAGCAAGTATGTGTGCGCTTGTGGTTGCAAACAAGCTTGAGAGTCGTAAAACGATTTTCGCGGCGCAAAAACGTTTTGATATATGTATACGATCTTTGTATTTAATATCCCTCTTTCGTTCGTTTTACACAAATGATGTCTTGTATTTGTCCTAGCGTCCTTGTTTTATAGATAACCGAAGCGCTTATAGCAATCGTTCAATGTGAAATAAAATATTTTATATATCTTTCTCCTGGTTTATGGACCTATGAGCCAATGTTTTTATACCGTCCAACAGATAAATATCGCTACAAATTTCTGCATAAATCTTGCTCCTTATCGTTCACCTAAACCCTATATACTTAACTACTTAGTACACGTGGCCATGTTACCTACCTTGCATGTCGAAAAAATTATATCTCTGAAATTGTTTCATTGGAATTTGATTTTTGCAGATGAAATGACGGTTTTTGCGACAACTGAAATTGGCCAGACGATGACATATATTAAATTTTGACCGACCGTCAATTTTCATGCACAATAGTCAAGAAGAAAGAATTTACTGCGGTAGTAAAAAAATTCATATTACGATTGTTTCGACATTATTATCGCATGTGATGAATAATCAGGATATTCGTACAATTTTTTTTATATAAAATTAAACGTGGAAGAACTGCGGTTAAAAGTACTGAAAATATATATTTAGAATTTGAAGAATGTTGTGTAAATGTTAAGACACTTCAACGTTGCTGTTGCAAAATTCAATATTATTGACTTTTTATTAAAAAATGAGCCAATAGGAAGGCTAAATAGAACTGTCGACGATAATATTTTAAGAAGAACGATTGAAAACAATCCAGGGTAAAGAATATGAAATATACTCCTCTCTTTCCTAAGAGACTACCATTTATTCAAGCACTTGAACAATTTTTTAACAAATGAATTATCCCGAAGAGAAGGCACTGTAAAAGCAGCAGTCAAAAAATTCTTCAGTTCAAAGATTAATGATACCATAAATAAATTAGGAATAATGTAACTAGTTAATGTGTGGAAATTATTTCGATGAAATATTAGGTCATCCCATAAGTCCATGTCGAATTTTACAATTAGAATCAATATTTCCAAGAAACCTTTAAATTTGATAAAAAACAAAACGTAAGGGCCTTCTCATTCCTTCATTTTTTTTCCTATTTTGTTTAGGAATACCATTATGTCGTCGCTACAAAATTTCTTCAAATTCTCGTTCAAATATTTCTCGCTTTGTGCACGAACTTATGGGATTACCCAATACATTATTTTACCGAAGGAACACAATGCATCTATAGTTTCATTTCAAAAAGACCTAATACAAAAGCACTCTTGATCGGAAATCAAATTTTGCCTGAAGTAAGCTCCATTGTAAGTAACAGTCGGTGTTTTTCGTTCTTGTCCTAAAATCGTCACAACACTGGTCGGTTGCGTATAATTGAGACAGAGCAGAAAGTACTCTTAGTCGTTGACGAGAGAAAACGGGGACGTTGCAGGGGCAGCCGTCGAGTTTAGACGAGTTGGAGGTGGGGTTGGAGGATTGGGGTGGAAGGATGATCGTAAAACGTCCTCGGAGTGGATTCACCGTGCGATAGTCAACGACAGATACGTGTGCACACGCGATATCCTGGAGGTACTTTACTTGTGGCTGAATTTACTGATTGAACCACGACAACTGTCGTCGTTGCGGTGGAAACGGATTTTATGCGTTCCGGAGATGCCGAACCAACGACAGAAACCTCTGTACGGAGAAACTGCACTAAATTGTTTCGAGCTAGATCATAAATCTCCTCGAGTAATCGAAGCTGATACACGTGACTGAGAATGGGTTGATTTTCACGAGGGTCCAAGAGTTGTTTTAATTTCGCCGGATTATTATTGAGACTGGATATGAGCCACTCAGAAGCCAAACTGACTAACTTCGTCAGATTAAATGTATCAAATCTTTTTTTTATTTATGAAGAGTTAAGCATCAAACATGTGCTTTGATTCTAAAACCGGAGGAATTTAAAAGAGCTTCGTGGCTTTGTTTAATTATAAATAGAAGCACGAACGATATTAGTTAGCTCTTAAAAACCGTGTTGCATTGAAACTGATAACGATACTGTATAATACTATTTTGTTAGTGTCTACTCTCGAGCTCTGTTTCTTAATCCCTTGCCTTATAATAACGAGTGAAGCTCGTGGTACAGATTCTGATAAAGATGTAACAGAAACAGTTATATCAGTGATAAAGATTCATTTCAATTCTAAATTTAGTTCTAATTCATAAAACTGAAAATTGTCAAATTACAAATGATGCATAACACAGTATTAAAATAATAAGCAGCCTACGTTTAGGTGTGTAGTCAGTAAAAAAAAAATCATAAGTCAAGGGGTTAAAAAGAAAGTGTAAACGATATATAAAACGTACCAGTAATTCCAACACTTAATTCTACAATTTCATATCGTATGAAACATGAAACATTCTTTCATCAATTTTCTAGAATAATTACTTACGAATTCAGAGTGTCAGTTTCTATTACACGGTCCACCTTGTATAACTCACTTTTTTTTTATTTCAGATGGAAAGACATGATTGTGATCACCACCAAGCGTGAAGAATTTTATTTCG